TGCTGATGTAAATATAGTTGATAATGAGGACCTTAGATCACTAATTTTAAAAGGTCCTAAATATAAGGAACCCCAATCCTTTAACTGGCGACGTAATTTCATACATATTATGGATTCTGTAGAGGATTACGCCAGACGTTGAGTCAGACAAGAAAAAGAACACCTTGACACTTTGTCAGAATGGATTAAATGTATCAGATGTATGTTAAAATCTCGCATTAAGCGATTGAGGGGCAGTATGAAAACCATCTATCCTTCTGTATTAAATAATTCAGAAGTGAAAAAAGAATTAGATAGATCACAAGATCAGTACGTACTGGTCCCTGCTGACAAAGCAAGTAACAACATTGTCTTTGTTTGTAAGGCTCATTACGCAGCAATGTTAAGGCTTCCCGAAGCTTTAAATGCGTTCAAAACATAACACTGCATTGCAAGGTCGATTTTTATTTTTTTGTAAGTTATGTACTTAAGTACGGCCAGTTTATATAGAGAGTTCTCTAGGCTATATATAAACGTATTTGTTACGATATCACATGACCTCTTTGATCACGTGACGGTCATTTCTATTTTTTTTGGAAGTATTTCATATAAATCGCTTCGGCGCAGCTGATTAACACAGTTATAATTAAGTTTTTGTCACATAAATAAACTCGTCGCATCCTTGTGAACCCGAAATGTGCTTGGGAAAAGTTATACTATTACTCTGGTACAAAATATTTCACATAAATTCAACTTACCGACAAATTTGAGGGTATTTTCCACTTAATATCGTCATCTGTATTAAAACAAAGCCATCACACATTTTTCCCAAGCAAGATTCAGTCAGAAGGGAAACTCCTCTTACAGATTACCACAAAAGATCTCAAATAAATCCTCATTAATCACCTGCGCCAGGCTCTTTTATACACATATTATAAATTCTACTTCTATCCACGGGTATAAAAAAGGGTAAATGTAAAACGTATATTTTCGTATATATTTTGAACACGCTGACTTTTAATCAAGAGTGATAAAGCAAAGTTGTCTAAAATATTCGGATATATAAGATTTTTTTAAAAAAGATTAAAATACGTTTATTTTACATTACCTTTCTGACACTTTATATGCAGATTGAAATAAGGTGTAAAGTTTATGACACTCTCCCGATCAAAACAACTCAAGTTTGCAGTGACTTGACGTCATTTTCAATTATGACGTCATACATTTGTAGTTCAGAGAAGTGATGAAGGCACATAGTACACTGCGATATTCTCTGGGAAGCCTTCATGTACCTGCGTATATAAATTGTATTTTAGAGGAACTGGGATTTAATTCTACAAGAGGTAATCCAACTTATACCCATAGCTCCCTTTCTAAGGAGGAAATTCTTCAAAATCATATGTCCTTTTTGAATATTTTTAATATTCCTAACAACCAAAATGAATTTGAATCAAAATATCTATATTGGATTCCGAAACTTCATAAAAATCCTTACAAAGATATATAGCGGGTTCCAGTAAATGTTCTGCTAAGCCTCTTTCTTTACTTCTCACTAAGATATTAACAGTAGTGAAGGAGAAACTTCAAGAGTATTGTGCAACAATATATTCGAGAAGTGGTGTAAATCAGATGTGGATACTAAAATATTCTAAGGAACTTTTGGAACATTTGAAATCACAAAATTTTACCAAAATCAACAACATTAAAACTTACGGCTTTTCAACTTTATGCACAACCATTCCCATTCCCACGATAAATTAAAGTCCAGGCTTTTTGATATCATTGACAGCTAATTTTTCAATAAAAATGGAACTCGTAAATTTACTTACCTTGTCACTGGTCATTTACAAAATTATTTTGTTAAAGCACTCTGATTGTACACACAAGTACTCTGAAGTTGACATTAAAAAGATGCTCGAGTTTCTATGTGGTTTTTGGAAACCAGGTCTTCCAACAATCTTTTGGAATTCCCATGGGTACCAATTGCCCCCCGTTATTAGCAGACCTATTTTTGTATTCATATGAAGCAGAATTTGTTCAAAATCTTTTACGTGAAAAGAAGAAAACGCTTGCTGTGGCCTTCAACTCGACATTTAGATATATCGACGACGTATTGTCAATTAACAATGGTTATTTCCATTCTTATGTCGCACGATATATCCCGGTGAGCTTGAGATAAAAGATACCACAGAGTCTGACACATCTGTTTCTTATTTGGATATTTTATTAGAAAAAGACTTTAATGGTAATCTAACAACAAAGCTTTATGATAAACGTGTGACTTTCACTTCTGGTGCCAGACGCTTGACAAAGGAATGGTCACTACCTATGTTTACGTCTTGGATTTGACGCGGCGAGGCGAACGAGAATCGAACCGATCACGAATCGAACGCCCTACCACTAGGCTAACGTGACCGGTTCAAGAAAAGAAGAGAACGACTTAATATTTCAGAGTGAACTCGAAATAAAAGACACTACGAAATACGCCACGTCAATTTCATATTTGGGTGTTTAGCTGGACATTTATGAGGTAATACCAAACTATTAACTAAATTGTAAAACAAAATGGGCTGACTGAAGATTTTCCATTGTCAACTTTCTACATTTAGGAAGTAAAAAAAATTCTGTTATTACCTACATATGTCTTTTAGCTGATTCGGTATGCATGTGCATATTCTGTGTAAAATCAGATTTTTGGACAGAGACAGATTATTGACTGATAAAATAATACAGGACTTTCACAATCTCTTATAAGCCATTTCGCAAATGATCGTAATAATAACCTGCTTTGCAAGAACACCCTATAGTTGGGTCGAATTTTGACTATCATAATTCATAATAATTGTTTAGCAATTTTTTTCCTAATAATATTGATTATTGAATACTCCATTTACCTGATCAATATGCAACGGGCTCATGGAGTGCGTGACCAACCGACAGGAGATGCATACTCATCCTAGGCATTTGATCCAACCTTTGATGTTTCTAGGGGTCGGTGAATTTGCCCTGTTCTCGACTTGTATTAGTTATAGGATTTATTAGATTGACCACTGTTTGTTATTTTCATGTTTTTTTATGTATCATGCAAGTGCACTTAAGCAATGCTTAATGGGCCCTTTTCAGTGCCGTATTACTTTAGAATATATTGCCAAATTGTTCTCTCTTGGTAATAGTTAAACACAAGTGGATATTTCTAGTTAAAATCACGTTAAAACATCACATAAATCAGCACGGATTTGAAACAAATGAAGATTTTTAAATGCCTATAGATACCCCAAATCCGGAAAAGTCGTACCGAACCTATTTGAGTTTCGTCTATTTAAATCTAGGGGAGGAGACATTTAAATCGGACACTTGAACAATCTGATGGTGGATCATTGACGGGCGTGTTTGCCGAATGATACTTCTTGCGCTATTTTACCCGAGAAAAAAAATCGAATGAAGTTGTATAGATGCCTGTAGCCATAGTGATCAAACTAAGAAATTTGCACGCTTGCATTTGAAATAATACAATAAGTATTAACATTAGTTCCTTTAAATTTTAAAATGAAAAAAGTGTATTTAAGTGACTTTCAATACCTGTAGCATTGTCTTGCATGAATGTTAAAAATGTTTGACGCATTTATGTATGATGACATTTTAACGACACTTAACTCTCCTAACCCTCCCAAATACATACAAATTTCTCTATGCGGCACGACTTCGATATAATGATACAAAACGTGCATGGCTATCTTTTACAGTGAGCACCTTTGAGGAATGTTTACATGGGTAGAACTCACGTGACTACCGGTATTTTAAATAATTTATTCCACGGGTGGGTTCAACATAGCTCATACAGATAAATAGCTTTCGCTTGCTATAGGAAAAACATTGAACTTTTCATACATTTTTAATATTTTAAGTACAAGCCTAATCTTGTACAAATTTCCTACTCTCACACAAGTTTCATAAATGTATAATGCGCTTTTTGTCATTCGCACAAGTTTGTACAACGTTAGGCTGACAGTAAACAAAAGCTTTGAAATGAATGACCTTCCTCGATTTACTATAGAAAATCACGAATGTCGGCTGACCCCTACCACATTGTATGGCTTTGCTCTTTGTATATTCATGAATTTCAGCGATAAAATTTGTTGAATCTTATGGTTTAGATATCAAATAATGATCTGAGATGAAAAATTATGCTTAATTTGATTCTTCATTTTTTCACATTTTATCGGGGCCCTTAAGTGCACTCGATAGGAACCGTCACGGTAGCTCAATCGGTAGAGTGCTCGCTCCGTGATCGGAAGGTCGTGTGTTCGAATCACGGCTAAAGTCGATAAAATATAGGTAAAAACTGTTCCTTCGCCAAGTGCTCGGCACTTTGGAGTGAAAGCTGCGGGTCTTTCGGATGAGACCTAATAAACTGGATGAGACCTTATAAACCGAGGCCCGGTGTCACAGTAGTCGTTGGCACGATAAAGAATCCTCACTGCTCAATGGCCCTGATAGCTGAGTAAAGGTCAAAATTTGAAGCCCTTCACCGGTATATGGTGACGTCTCTATATGAGTGAAAAATTCTCGAACGGGACATAAAACAACACACAATCAATCTATCAATCAATCAAATTTCTATAGGTATGTCTAAATATTAATCTCTTCGTTTTGTAAACAGTCGTACATACAGAGTGCAAATTCCTTCATAAGCGTATGAAGTTTTCCAAAGGTCATTGGTCATTACGTGGCTTATTCAATGACGCAATATTATCTCTAGATGTAATGATACTATAAATGTACTCTGATCTGTGCATTTCAAGTGGGTCGTGTAAATAATACCATACACAAAACAATGATTGCTTCAACCTTCATTGAATCAAATTTGATTAAAATATTATACAAGCATTTCTTTGCACATTTTTGTATAAGCTAATTTCATTTATATTAATCTGAATTTGAAGTTAAATATGTCTGCGGCGAAGAACATTAGTGGTTTTAGTGTTGTGGATGTGTATGCAATTATCAACATTATTCCTGAATGAATTTTGGTTTTTTTATTATATTTATCACAATAAATTTGCAAGATAAAACAAGATGAGTTTGTGAAACACTAATGCCCCCATATGGCAGCACAAGTCCAAGTTTAAAGTTTTTCAAAAGTAGGTTAAACTCAAAGGTCAAGGTAAAAATGTTGATACCCAAAGAAAGGTCTGGTCTGGTAGCGAGAAATTTCAAATGCATATACATGTATATGAAATTGATATAAATAAAGTCTTATATATTAATTAAAACCCTTTTAAAAAGTCTAAGACACCTTATTTCAATTAGACTTTTTAGAATTCTTTGGGCTATAAGTTGGTAAAAACGGAATGTAGGATGTGATCCGATATTTCCTCAGAAATTTCGATAGAGCTGGTATATCATACACCTCTCGCCCCTCCTCTAGATTATTGCTTTGTTCCTCATCTTCCTGGTCAGCTGCTTGCCATACAGTCATTCCTCGTTCTTTTAGCGTTCCTATCATCAGTACGAAATTGCAAAAAAAATATATATAGCAATATTTTGACAAATAAAAAACAAATACAAAATCACTCACATTTAAAAATCCAGTGTACAATGTTTTCTAGATCAATATTATATTTCTTCAGCAAATAGAAAATAAAGTTCTCTGAACATGTAATTTAACCAGCAAGAAAAATTAAATACAGCTCAAAGATAACTAGATTTTTTTCCAAACAAACACAAATACTACAAAAGTATAATGAATAGAGCATTAATTTACTCAAATATTTTAAAATTGCTCAAGCTTGAATTAAATGCATCGATTTTGCCTCTTATTCAATGGGAATAAGCATCTACATGATTCTATTTTATCTATCGCAAAAACCAACACATGGCGGATAATCATTAACATTATCCATCTCTTTACATACTTTGACGAAAAGTTGATCTGGATGGTAAAGAACGCGACTGATAGCAACAGACATTATAAAATATTTCAGAAATATCTGCATATTTAGGTTTAAAAACAAACCAGATTTAAAATACTATTCTAGTTTTATATGTTCCGTGCTGGACCAATAATGATGTATGGATGTCTATGATGAGTGGATAAGATAACACAAACTGCGTATCAAACAAAAAAGGGAATACTTTGAGAATATTGGGCGCACATTTGTATGATATCCATGACGTCGAAGATTTTGTAAAATTGCATGATTCCATGATAAGTCGGAAATAATAACTCAAAATTGATATCAATTTACAATATTTTGAAATTAAATTTTGATGACCCCTAAGGTAAAGATTATATTTTTTCTGCACAACAATTCCTCTTAATTTTTGAACAATCCTCATATGTATACATGTATAATGCAGGAAGCTACTGCAGAGACCCTTATATGTCCCTCCATATAACTCACTTGGTTTGTTTGTTTGTTTGTTGTTTAACGTCCCTCTCGAGAATTTTTCACTAATATGGAGACGCCACCAATTGACGGTGGAGATATGCAAATTTCGGCACTCAGGGCCATTGAGCAGTGAGGGATCTTTTTCGTGTCAGCAACTACTGCGACACGGGGACCTCGGTTTATACGGTCTCATCCGAAGGACCGGTCTCCACGTCCCACAGTGGGATTCGAACCCGAGACTCTATAGTAGACGTTCTTACCACTGCGCCGCGCAGGGGTGACTAACTCATTTGGTATAGTATTGTCCAAATTGAGAGCTCTTTCTGTAATCACTTGGAGATTTTTATCTACTCACCTGGTACAGTGTTGTCTAAAATGACTGCAATAAGAAATCCAGCGAAATTAGGATTCCTTGTTAGCATTCTGAGTAAGTTGTCAGCATCCGGATTACCTAAGAATGTGTTGTAAATAATATTGTTATATGTTAACCAGTTTTTCTAGAATAATTATTACACAGGAATGTAATTTACTTCAATATTAGTGTAAGTCTCTAGCAGGATAATACTGTATTTTTTTTTTAAACGGGATTCATTAAAAAATGTGCTAATATAGTATAAATACCAAAATATGAAGTAACATTTGTTTGACGATGGTGTCCTAATAAGTCAATGTTTTGAATGTTGAGAATGCTTCATTTAGTGCACTATAGCAGTTTGATTTTACCTGTATTGAAGACTTCATCGCCTTTTAATTTTGACCAATATGGTATGATAAGTCCCCACAGTATGGAGATTCCAATGATTGCTAGATTTCTTGTAGAATTCATATCGATATACTGAAGGTTGCCAAAAACCAGACCAATAAAAAATCCGAACCCTACTACCTGCAGTCCGCCAACCACGGGGTATGGAATGGTGACAAGGACGCTGGTTGCTTTCCCAAGTAAAGCAAGAATAACCAACATAACACCCAGTAGCTGGAAAACATTCCTGCTTGCAACCTGCAAATGATTTAAATCCTAAAATAAAAGTTGTTCTCTCGGTTTCCATTTAAAACATTCTGGGTATTCTATGTCCACTTAAACTTAAAGCAGTTCCTTAAGTTTCTTTCCCCACAGCATTGAAGTTTTCAATTTCATTTAAGTTAAAACTCAGATAAATGTGGAAATTCATGAAAAATAATGATTTTCAAGTTTGTCAAAGTTGTTGCCGTTGGTAAAGAGGTTCAATCCCTAGTTTTTGTGCAATGAGTGAGGAGCTATATTTCGTAGTGGAAGGTTGTTAGAAGAAAAAGATCAATTGTTCTCTTACGAAGTATTTAAAGCACTGTTAAGTTTGCTTTCCTATTTTCCCAAGCAGGCTGCACACAGAGTTATTTTGTGTAGTTAAATGTTTAATACTGGTCCTGAAATAATTATTAAATTAACTCTTATGAATATTATCATCATATTGTGACTAAGCAAATATATTCTGAAAGTCCAGGAAAAAAAAAATACAGCAAATTTAAACTTATAGTTAACTCTTTTTTTTTTTAGCAATATCTAAAAAAAAAAAAAAATACGTCATAGCTCCCCACTTTTGATTTTCTTTTCTGAATATATAAGTAACTTTGATCATTCTGTTTAAATTTGACAAAAGTTTAAGACTTCAAAATAAATCTCTAGCTTGTTAAATTTTTAATGCCAGAAAAATGACTTTGTGAGTGCAGAGAGGTCAAATAATTGATTATGTGAAGTAATTTGGAATTTTTCTTTGTCACAATATTTAATGTGTCTTTTCAAGATAGAATAAGAGTATATTTGGTCCCATGATTTATTTGGATAAAAAAATGGAGAAAAAACTTCGAAGAAGTGATTTATGTTTCAGACACATTTTCAGTGCAAAAAAAGGTCATATTAAATTAACCATTGCGACAAAAGAAGCGTGTTGACCCCCATTTCGTTTTGATTTTTTTTATTAAGCTACGTGTGTGGATACTAAGAATATACTTGACAAAAATGCTTAAGACTTTCGATAGCAGGATCCAACCTCCTTAAGACAGACGCATTATAATAACCATCTTATTTTTCCTTATTTAATTTTGGACATCTTGTACTCAAAGGATATATACTTTGTACAATTTTTTAATAAATTATATAATATAATAATCGTATAGATATATGATTTTTTTCATTGCGAGAAATTATGTTGGTGGTTTCACAAAAATGTTCGTGTAACAATGTTTCAATGAATTATATTCACTGTTTCAAAGTGAATACATAAATCTCTGATTATTAAAATATAATAATCATGCTGCTTTTTTTGTTAAAATGTTTGACTCTAGAAAATGAAGCAAGAAATTTAGAATTAAATAAAATATGAAATCATAATTCTAGTAGGACAAACACAACATGATGTTTAGAATTTTATCAAATTCTCTAAAGACAATGAGAAGACAGACAAACGGCGCAAAACCAGCACAAAAATACTGGACAAGTCGAGCTAAAAGCATTAAAACAGTAATGCGAAAGATCTTTGCTTTTACCATTCTCCCGAAAGTATCCGTTTAATATCTTTTTGTAAGTTTCCTTGCTTAGGGATAGTATAAGGATTTTCGCGTCTTGCAAATGTTTATACATCCCCTAAAGTAGTTATCGTATTGCGTGCTATTTAATTCACATGAGCTATAATTAGAATTTGTTTCAGAAATGATGATTTGGTAAATAGAAGATGCAAACCTTTGTTAAAGCGATAATTCCAATATTTCCACCAAAAGTAGTTGTCGCGTGCGATGCTCCCCAAAGTCCCGCCATCATGCTCATGAAGCCCTCCGTCAAAATCCCCCTGTTCATAGCATGAACTGGCGGAGAGGGAACACGTGCCACTCTGGCTACCGCATAATAATCGGCGATAGAATCGATTATCGATGTAATTGTAGCTGTGATGAAAGCTGCAAACACACTTACATCGAAACCTGGTGTACCATGCATTCCTTTATGAGAAAAAAAAAGACGAATCAAATTTAAAATCTAATTTTTTTGCCTGAGTAAATGAAACAGAAAAGGAGACAAAGATAATGCGTGAGAAAAAGGTGAGACTATAGAAGGTTTTGTGGTAAACTGATTGAGTAAAAGCGGGTGATGTAAAAGTAATCTTTTGAAAATGATGAACAATATGAATTCAATTGTAGAACAAGGTTTTGTACCTGGATACGGGAATACAAGCCATGGTGTTTTCCCAATAACTGCCGTTCTGGAGTCCGTTCTAGCATAAAACTCGGGACTTTTTGGATCGTCGCTAAACACACCAACTTTCGTAAGAATAGCAGAAATTGCCCATCCTACACCTCCGGCAATCAATACCTTTGGAAAAGATAAAGCAACGTCTTCGGGTTTTATTTTATCACAAGCGGAATTAACGCTGCCAGTTACAACGTTAACAATATTTATATATTGCATGTTATAGGTTACATTTTCATTTAAATCATTAATAATATATGATAATATTTGTGATTTATATTCAAAATGTTTCATTCATATTCGAAAACTTTTACATGTATTAAGAATGGTAATCTTGTAAATCGTTTTGTAAATCTTGAGATTTATGTTTTCAAAATATGCATATTTCAATATGCAAAAACTTGTCAATCATATTCGATAATCTTATGATTTTTTTTTTTTGTGGTAATAATCTTGTGATTTATATGTGAAAAAAAAAAACATTTCTAAGGGAAATCCTGTTATTTATATCCAAATTTTTGTAAACTATGCACGAAATCTTTTGATTTATATACGCAATTAATCTTTTAATTCATTTGTTATATGATTTGTTTCTGGCTAATACATCTATGACACAATTCGGTATTTTTACAGGTAATGGTTATCGCATTTAAATCACAAGAATATCGAATATGAATCACACATTTTTGAATACAAATAACGATATTTAGAATATGAATAACTGTTTCAAATATAAAACATAAGATTTCGCTTATTAGTCATTAGATTATCGAATATGAATCACAATTTTTTTTTTCATATAAATAACAAGACTTTTTCGAATAAAAAAAAAATCACAAGGTTTTAGTATCATTTTTACGATTTTGTATATAAATCGCAGGTTTTAAAAAAAAAGACACGAAGTATTTGCCTGACATTGCAATCTGTTTACAGGCGACTTAATTTATCCATAATTTTCATCAAATGACCTCAATATACATGTCTTGTTGCATCAAATGAGACAGTGCTTTTGGGTCAAAAAGACGTTTGTATAATTTTCTATTTGTGCGGAATCACAATCTCTATTCAATCCGCGAGATGGAAATTACGCGGATTTCTCCCATTGCCATTGTATGTCTTCAATGCATTTTATCAGTACGTGGTGACTTTCCCTGGAAAATGTAACCGCGTACTTAGCGTTTATAAATCCAATGCAGAAAAAAAGAACGTCTACAATATATCAAATATTTTTTTTCCTCGTCATCAGACTATCATGACATGAAAAGAATAAATTAGAAAAAAAGAAATTAATCTTTGTTTTAGTTTTTTTTTATAAAGCTATTAAAAGTGTGGTGGAAAAATCAGTAGACAAAGAAATAGGAAATATCTGGGGTATAATGAATAATGAGTAGACAAAGAAATAGGAAATATCTGGGGTATAATGAATAATGAGTAGACAAAGAAATAGGAAATATCTGGGGTATAATGAATCAAATGAACAATGTTTTGAAAAATTTAAGATTATATTTCTACCGAAAACACTTGATGCAGTGGATATCTGAAGATGTGGAATCCTTTGTCCCTTGACCACAGCGGAATTGGCAGGTTATATCGATCCAGATACATGGATAGTAGAATCGCAATACTGGTGGTGCTATAAAATGAATTGTATTACATAATAAAGACAATATAAAATTTATTGATATTTTTCAGTTTTTTTCGACAAGAAGAATAAGAAATAGATTATTTGATCTACAAAATAACTGTATGTTAAATATTTTAACATAACAATAAATATTTGCAGTCATGTTTAATATAAATGCTCACAGAAAGAATACGCCCCCGTGAGTCACGGTTTGATATAAATACATGAACTTACAGAAGCGATACGCCCCAGTGAGTACTGCAGAACCTGTACACCACTGTAAATACGTTGATACCTATGAGGAGAATGGTAGGAATGACTGTGATTGGTCCAATAAATCTCAGCACAAACCCTACAGTCCCAGTCAATCCCACAAGCATATGAAGAAATCCAGCAAGAATTAAAGCCCCGGACATCTAAGGTAAAAAAAGTTTAAAAACTGCTGCAGTTGACGCTTAGCTTTGATTTATAGAGATTAATCACAGTTTCATTATAAAAGTTCTTAACTATTATAAAAGATTAAATTATTTTTGAAAGAATCTTTAGTGATATTAGCGAAAGTAAAGTTTTCACAATTAAACGACGTTTTAATATATAGACGATGTTTTTTTTAAATTAACAAAAGGTAATACTTTCATTCATCTATCGATTTAATAAATCCCAGTGAACTCGATTTAAAAGACACCAAAGTCTGCCACATCTGTTTCATATTGAGATGTTCTGCTGACTGTAGACGTCCGTGTGTAGAAGTTCCAACTCCCCGTCGATTCTCATTCGGAAGTCACTTGGAATTACTTGGAAGTATTTGGAAGCATTTGGAATTCCAAGTACTTCCAAGTCATTCGGAAGAATTTTATTTGGAAGAATCTGAATTTAATTTGGAATCTATTTGGAACCATTTGGAAGTGCAGAGATGAAACTTAGTCTATATGTTATCAGGTGATCGGGTTCGAGGTCTTGTCTCGGGCTCGACCTCGTGGATTTTGAAATCAGGCGGTTCAAACCTAAACAGTGTTGCATCATGATTGCATTAAAAGAGGATTGATCTTCTATTAAGTATATGTAGTGCAATGGAGATAATTAACATCTTTTAAGTTCATGACTCGGCGGTATCTAAATCTTCATTTTATGTCGAACTTCTCTTTGAAAAACAGTTAGACCGTATCGGATTGATCATTGCTGAAACTGTGAAAAGTGTCCTTTTTTTGGAATTATTTATTCGTCATGTCAGTGCATGTTTTCATGATAATACAACGTGTTCGACTTTTATTACTTCCGTAAATACATGAAGCCAGGAAATACCTAATTTACTTTATTTGGATTTGAATTTTGCAAAAATATCGCAGAATATTTAATTTAAAAACAGTTTTACAGGAGAATCTTTAACCAGAAAGGTTTGTCTTTTTCAAATGCAATGAATATTTAACATTAAATGATGCCAAAAGAATAGTGTTTTGTATGATATATATTATCAAATCGCTGGTTGTTTGTTATCTGAACAACATGTTTAAATATAAGCCAATGAAATCTTGTTTTTATTTGTTGAATCACATTTGTAATAGTCATTCGGAAGTCATTTGAAAGTAACTTGGAAGTTATTTGAAAATTTCTAGAAAAATCTGAGTTTTAGTCATTCGGAAACAACTTGGATGTAACTTGGAAGTCATTTGGAACCATTCGGAAATTTGTTCCAATACTCCGAATGGTGGTTTGGAAATTACAAATGAAGAATTCCAAGTGATTAACTTGGAAATTCCAAATGCAACTTGGAACTTCCACACACGGGAGCTGAGTGAGTGAGTGAATGGCAAGATAACATCTTATCTTTATAACAAACGGGATGCATTTGGCTTATACTTTTCCATCAGTTTCCTTATTTATATAGTAATATTCCACTATCACCTGCATATGGTGTATATGGTCATTTTATGCAAGAGCGTGTTCTGAGTGCAAACAAGTTTTTAAACCAAGGCAGGCTGCTGACAAATGAGTTGATGTAACAATGCTTTCCTCAATTTCTTTTTAACAGGATTAAGAGCATGTTGTTTATGTGACCAATACAGAGGGCTTACGGCAGGTGTGAACGGTTGACAGGTGAAACTTATTCCTATTCGGCACCTAATCCCTCCTCTGGTGTTTCGAGGTTTCCTTGTTTTTGCACAGTTCACGACCTGTATTATCAACAGGGTTATGAGCATGTTTTACATACAAACAATGTCTAAAACGAGGCAAATAAGTTGATGATACAAGAATATTAACAGTCTCGTTTAAAGTCAAAGTTTCGGAAATTCTACGGTCGATACAATGACCTTGTTAGCAAATACAATCCATCAATAAGTCGAATACTGACTGACGTTTTCATACAAAATTGTTGTGCCTTTATTTTCACACTGAATTGTCAATGTATTTTTCCGTTTATCGTTGACAAGGTGCACAAGGAGGTTGTAACCGGTCGACAGGAGATGCTTAGTCCAACCTCTGATGTTTTTAGGGGTCCACGTTTGCTCTACATCTATTTGTATTGTTTCAATGGACTTTTGAACTTGATAACTGTTCGTTATCTTCATATTGCATTTATGAGATTGACCACTCTTCGATATCGATCTTTCTCCTTTTTCATTTAAGTCTATTCAAATTTAAACATTGCTGGAAAAAACAAGCGCGCAAAAAGTTTATTTGCTCTTGGCTCAACACAAAAGATAAAAAAATCAAGATTCTTCAGTTTGAAATTATGAAGAATGATTGAAGAATGATAAGGGGAATTATCATGATTAGAATATCCTCTCAAAGGCTCAAGATGGTAACTAGTGTATATATATTAGAAAAAAATCCAAGGGCATGTGTAAAAAGTTGTCGAGAAGAAAATATGACAACACAACAATTTTTCTGTATGTATACATACATATTCTGCAATTTTCTTTTATCTAATAAAATTATCAGTCTTTTTCTTTTCATGCCTCTCTGTGGACCCTTATGTTTGTTTGTTTGTTTGTATATTGTTTTACGTCTCTCTCGAGAATTTTTCACTCATATGGAGACGCCACCACTTGCCGGTGGAGAGCTGCAAATTTTGTCCTATACTCGGCACTTACGGTCATTGAGCATTGAGGGATCTTTTTCGTGCCAGCACCTACTGCGACACGGGACCTCGGTTTATACGGTCTCAACCGAAGGACCGGTCTCCACGTCCCACAGTGGGATTCGAACCCGCGACGTAAGGATCAACTCCTTACTCCGCGACTCTAGAGCAGACGCTCTAACCACTGCGCCACGCGGGCGACGTGGACCCTTATGGCAATATGCTATTGTTTATTGTTATTAGGAATTCATTTTGCAACTAAGATTGATACTGATCTATTGGGTCTTAAGAATAAATCGAAAACGGGATGCCAAAAAAAAAAATTAAAAAAAAAAAGAAAAGAAAGAACGACGAAAAACGAACAAGCCTTCATCAGAGGAGATTACTTCTGATAATTAGAGAAAATATATCATACTTTTAAAAACTTTGGAACTACAACGGCTTGGAAATATGTTATATTCTCTTCTCCGTAATCACCAACAGTACTGTTACCTGCAATTATTTGGTAAATGAAGCAATGACCATAATATTTGATATACTAGGGTTGTCCAGAAAGCTAGTGGACAATGGCTTGAATTCAAAAATTATGATCTTTGTTTTAAATTCAAATTACACCATAACATATTTTTCAAATATAACATCATACTGTATATACATTCTAGCTAAAATTTCTGAAGTGACAATACAATTGACAAATGCATAAAAAAGTTTCAGAATTTTTATTAGCAGAACAATACAACTTGGTTGTTTTGACGTCGTCAGTGTGACGTCATATATATTATGTTACCGGTCTGTCCAATGTAGTTTTCCCCGCATGAAGTACAAGTCATACAGTATATTAAATTTTTAGATTTGCATGGCATATTCGCATTTACGGTAAATTTTTTACCACATTTAAAAGTAAACGTCTCTCCTGTTTTTAAATAAGGACAGGTTCCACATGTCCTTATTTAAAAACAGGAGAGACGTTTACTTTTAAATGTGGTACTTCATGCAGGGAAAACTACATTGGACAGACCGGTAACAAACTAGCTGACCGTGTAAGAGTCCATAAACAACAAATACGAAACCCTTCTGTCAGGAATACGCCATGCAGTGAACATTTTGATTCATGTGCGAATGGAAACTTTTTAATATTTCCATTTTATGAAGTTCTAGAAAATAATGAACAATTACGGAGAGCCAAGGAAGATTACTTTAAAATTATTTAAACCTAAACTAAATGTAAATTGAACATTATAGCTTAAAATTAGCAGTCTATTTCATCACAATATAATTTAATTCTGGTTGTAACGCTGTATTTGATTGGATAAAAAATTTACTTTATATCGTATAAAATGGGTTGCCTACGTCACAATGACTTGCGTCAAAAACATATCGATCCGCCTGAAGTTACATTCAAATTTTGTACAAATTGAAGTCATTTTTTAAGGACAATCATCTTTTTTTCTTACACCAAATGAATGAAAATTAAATTATAAGGAATGAATTTAATAGCTACCCAATTTATACGGTATAAACTGAGTTGGAACAGTTTACGCTTTTTTATAAACCGCTTCGCGGTTTATAAAGCGTAAACTGACCCAACCCAGTTTATACCGTATAAAATGGGTAGCTATTAAATTCATTCCTTACATATGTTCAATTCTATACTTTTGGCGCCCTAATGACATTTACCTGCGCCAATATATAATGCTGCCTTTATGACGTCACAATAACGACGTCATAACAACCAAGTTGTATTGTTTTTATAAACTTTGTTACACTCTGAAGAGCCTCACGGCGAAAGCGCCTAGTGTAATAATTAAATGTGAACTTGTTTGTTTATCTTGGATTTAATTTTAATTTATAACCTACCTATATCGTGGACTTTTACTACAATTTCAATATATATATATATATATATATATATATATATATATATATATATATATATATATATATATATATATATATATATATATATATATATATATATATGAAGTCCCTGTTTAAGATATTATCATAAATGCAACTTTACGTCGGACTGGGTCGTGTGGCATGTGCATGAACTCTTACTGATGATGATTGTAAAATATTGTGTACATGTATATTGTGTATTGTTTTGATTTTTAAGAATTTTCTCAATTATGGTCTATATTAATATATTATAATATAATATATTAATATATTATCATACAAACTTGGCAGTGTAGCAAAGAAAAAATAATCATTTTTTTTCACTAACATGTGAAAAAAAAAATGTAAATCCCTATCTGTGATGGTATAATGAAACTAGCTTAATGTCAGACTCCGTGTGGTTTGTAAAGACAAAGTGTTTACACCGAAAACGTTCGTAAAGTACTGTATATTGTTTTTAAATTTTTTTTTTTATATTTACAAAATCAAGATCTGTATTAAAATTTTATTTATCGTATCATTTGGCAGTGCAGTCATTATAAAGAAATTCAAAGCCCTCGTAAATACCCTATATCAGGAATGATTAATTTACTAGGTAATATCTATGTACCTAGAAAAAAGTCATTACTGTATACAGGGAAATTTTCGCCCCCGTTTTATTTTCGCCGCTTTCGCCCTACCCTTATTTTGGCGAATTTAAAACGGTATAATTTCTTAAACAAAACTATGACTAGGCGAATTTAAAACGGGGTAAAATTGTTTGCAAGTGTGAAAAGGCAAAAATAACACGGGGCGAAAATAACCCTGTATACAGTATTTTCTTGGATTGCACATTCCCATACATTTACAGAATTTAATGAAACTGATTTAATATAATAATATACCCATTGTCCGGTTATAAAATGACCCTCGGTCTGGGCATGCGTACTGAGGGAGATCCAGAACTGCAAGCAGCGGAAGTATATACATAGCGATAGGACCTTGGTAAACAGGAAGTCTAAAAAAAAATAATCACCGAAAAAATTCTACACTGATGAACGAGATAAAGAAGAGATAGTTGCAGAAAGAGAGGGAAAAGGCTTCTGCGTAGAGTTGCGATTAGAATTTTGTCAAATGGAAATACATGTATATGTATCATATGAGGTCATAATTTGCACATAGATCATTTCATCTTTCAAATACCCGGTATATGACACTTTGTTGGCATGTTTTTTTTTACCACATAGAATCTGTAGTTTTTACAATATCATATACATTATGCACACGTACATCATAAAATGTTGTGTTTGCGTAAACATGGGAAATTATACGTGGTTAATTTACTAAATATGTGAGAAGAAATCTTTCTGTGGTAAAAACCTCCCTAATACTTGCACAACTTTATATGTTTTATCTAACCTCTTACAGCACATCAGTCTAGTATTGCAGAACTAGGGTTCCTTCTACTGATTAATTAAAGATAAGTCAAATTTGTGCTTCCATTTTATGTGCGTAATTTAAAAAGTAATTTCATTCATAAAGCCAATCTCTGTCATAAGCGTTTGTCACATTGGCCTTGTCCGTACATAACACAGAGTTAATAACCACATGCACTGGCACATGATTTTTAATTGGCATCTTAATTATATAAACGAATGTATAAAACTCCAGGAAAAATCTACGTAAAAGAGTAGATATTGTTTAAACCTAATGGGACTCTGTCGTACTTATATTTACCGGAATCCAATGCTATTTTGTAGAAATGTGCATATTCCAGACATAAGGAGACTCATAGACATGAGCTGGACTTTGAATTCCTCCTCGTCTCGCGCGCACATCACCTCTGACACCAACATGGTGACTTTGACACTTGATGGTAAAACAACTAAGCATTGCTGAAAAATGAAATAATATGATAAGAATCGATTGAATGCAAAGAGTATAACATACGCCATCAGAAGATAAATTCAATGAGAGAGAGGCGTTGCAAGCAACTTGATACCTTTAAAAATTGCTTACGAAAAATCAGTTAAAAAATAGTTAATGTTACTTCTGACAAAAATTTATCAAAAGTTTATTTTACTTTACACAATATTAGTGGAATTTTGTATTCAATATTGCTTTATCATTTCTACCCTCCACCCCCACCTTCCCCTTATGAATCACGTTTTAAGTGATTAAAATGAAAAAAAATGTTAAGGCCGTAACCAAGCCCCCCCCCCCTTCCCCCCCAAAATAAATCTTATTTAACATCACACTGGTCTTCAATGTTTGCTTCATATAATAATTGTCGCAGAGATGTAAATTTAGATTTGTAATAGTTATCGTTTGGCAATATTATTCATTAAATTATTATTTTTTCAATAATCATATGTCAGTTTTAAATTGTTTTAATATTCCAAACAATCAAATTGAATTTGAATAACCATACCTATACTGGATTTCTAAATTTCAATAAAAAATCCTTCCAAACAAAGATACAAAGCGGGTTCCAGTTAATATTCTACCAAGCCTCTTTCTTTAATTCTTACTAAAGCGACTAGAAAATTCAGTGAGGAGAAACTGCAGGAGTACTGTACAACAATATATTTGAGAAGTGGTGTAAATCAGACGTGGATACTTAAAAACTCCAAGGAACTTTTAAAACATTTGAAGTCGCAAAATTTTACCAAAATCAATAACATCAAAACTTAAGACTTCTCAACACTTTATACAACCATTCCCCACGACAAATTAAAGTCCAGGAACTTTAGATTTAAATTTACTTACCTTGTCATTGGTCATTTGCAAAATCATTTTGTTAAAAAGCATTCTGATTGTACACACAAGTACTCTGAAGTTGATATTAAAAAGATGCTTGGAATTTCCATTGGTACCAATTACGCCCCCTTGTTAGTAGACCTATTTTTGTCTTCATATGAAGCAGAATTTATGCAAAACCTTCTACATGAGAAGAAAAAAACACTTGCTATGGCCTTCAACTCGATATTTAGATATATTGACGACGTATTATCAATTTACAATAGTTACTTCCATTCATATGTCGACTTGATATATCCCAGTGAGCTTGAAATAAAAGATTCCACAGAGTCTGACACATCTGTTTCATATTTGGATATTTTACTAGAAAAAACTTTAATGGTAACCTAACAACAAAGCTTTATGATAAACGTGATGACTTCAATTTTTCAATCGTCAACTTACCTTACTTATATATCAATAAAACCTTTATTACCTTGCATATGGGTTTTTTGTCTCCCAGTTGATTCGATACGCAAGAGCATGTTCTGCGTATGAACAATTTCTAAAACGAGGCAAGCTATTGACAAACAAGTTGATGAAACAAGAATATCAACAGTCTTTTTTTAAAGTCATCATTTTGCAAGTTTTATGGTCGGTACAATGACCTTGTCAGCAAATAAAATCTATTATTAAGTCGAATGCTGACTGACGTTTTTCATACTTATTGTTTAAACATTATTTTCACACTGAATTGTAAACGGATTTTTCCGTTTTCCCGATCATGACAAGGAATAGATGTGACCGGTCGACAGGGGATGCTCACTCCTCCATGGCACCTGATCCCACCTCGGATGTTTCTAGAGGTCTGCGCATGCTCTGCTCCATATTCGTATTGTTTCAATGGACTTTTGAGCTTAATTATTGTTCGTTTTCTCCATATGTCATTTGTTAAAAAATGTAAGAAAAATAACCCTCTGGGTTTATACTTTTTACCTGGAGTCCAAAGAAAAGAAGAAGGTAAAAAGGAGGTCGTTGACTGACTTTGTAGATCAATCTTTGTCGTTCAACCTTCTTTGAGTCCTCATCTATTCCCTTTGAATAGGATTCTCCATGCTGCATAAGGTCTTTCTCTGATTGCTCTATTTCCACAAAACTGTCGAAATTGCAATTTAAAGTGGATGGCGCCAATACATCATCAGGTATCTTCTCTTTCTGCAGTAGTGTTGCCCTCTCTTCAAAATCATTTTCGTTTACCTGGTTATAAGGAGGTGGTGGAGTGGGAGGTTTTGAGGATGAGGAGGTATCAGAATTCCCTTTATAATCCTTGTGTGAATCTCCAGCATGATTTCCTTCAAAGTCATCACTGCTTTTGTCTGCAGAAGTTTTCTCAGCATTACTTGATACATTATCTTTATCCATGTTTATAGTGTGCTTAATGGCGTTAAGAAAATACTTTTGTATTTATGTATTAGAGATAAGAGGTGTTTATATATTCAGATCATGACTTAAACATTCGCTTTCATGACAGGAATATATTTCTATTAGTTCATATGTGCCAACAATTTTCCGTTTTCACGTTATATGCAACAGTTCCAGACTGCTAAATAGAGCTGCATGTTACAGAATGAATCTAAGATGGAGTTATGTAAAATGTCTAATTTATTCAATTTTGCATTGTGTTCAATAAAACAAAATTATTACTAATCTGGAATACTTTGAGATATTGATGAGACGACGGAAAGAGAAACAAAAAGTGAGATAGGAGTTGCGTTCAAGATCACAGTGGATAATTGTAAGCTTGCAGTAGGTGGTGGTTTCTTAAAAGGAACTTCAACTAACATCAATGTATCAGATTTTAGACTGAAATCTCTCTCTCTCTCTCTTAGAAATGTTGGGCTTAATGAATCTTTTATTTTTCAGAGATGCCAAAAATAACATCAGATAATGTAATTATCGAATCTGATGTGAGTGGTAAATATGGTTGCCATTTTGGATATAGATACTTATAAAACTTTCCCTAGCTGCTACTAATTTGAAAGCACCTCTGCTAGAAATATGAACGAATTAAGTTTTTGTCTACATAGGTTTGTAACGGGTATATAAGAATATCAAAATGTCAACTGACTTCTAAAAGCTTTGCAATAGTCTGTTACTCCATCGTACCAGTTTCTGACGCATTTATTCATGACTTACAAATAGGTATGTATTTGCATTAATGCAATGAAGAATATCAAAATGTCAACTGACTTCTAAAAGCTTTGCAATAGTCTGTTACTCCATCGTACCAGTTTCTGACGCATTTATTCATGACTTACAAATAGGTATGTATTTGCATTAATGCAATGAAGATAAGAAGAGATAAATAGTGCGCTTTATTGATCTGTTTTGATTAACCAGACGTGATTATGTTCTAGTATATAAACTTACGTTACAACAGTATATTGTCATTATCTCAGAATCTTAATGACAGCATGAAGGCACTTCATGACAATCAATACATAGCGACATTTTGAAAATTAATTCTTTTTGTACCAGGAGTGTTAAAAATTTTGTTTATCGCAACAAATTATTTTATTATGCCTCAAATATTGAATGAAATACTTATAAATTAATCGAAATTCAACAGCAAATTGAAATATACTGAAAGGAAAAAAAACGCAGGGTAAACTTTTTAGGTGAAATAAGATTTTATATTTCAGACGTATTTTCCAGTTTTCCTATCTAACATTTAAAATCATCTTTAATAAAAATGTAACCAAAATTTGATTTTTTTGATAATTTGATTTTCCCCAATAATTCATGAGTTATTGAAACTCATATGACGGTACCCACCCCCCCCCCGCCCCCCCCCAAAAAAAAAAATGAAAATTCTCATTATCTTACATGTCTTCCTCGCGCATCTGTCACAGCCTTGATTCTCCTATGCATGGAGTTCTTCAGTGTGTTTATCCTTCTAATAGGGATATTATTCAACCCTTCCGAGAAGGAAGCCCTTAATTGATTGAGACCAGCTTGGACATTTTAAACCCTATCGTCCATGTAGTCCCACAAACGTTTGATGCGAAAAAGATGGACTTGACGGAGACCAGTCAAGTGGATAAATGTGATTGTTTGTGTGAAAATCTCGACAAGCCTTGCCAGCATTGGGAGGGGGGTTAACATGCCCCCAAAAATAGGCAAACGACGCGCGCATGCGCGATTTAGATGAACACTAACGTAAAGTTGACGAGCTCACAAACCAAAATCGCACTATCGATTTTCTTAAGTTTTGGGGTGAATGTAACGATTATGATAGCCTGCTGTATTAATAGCAGTTTTAGGGTAATGTGATGGTGATTATACAGGAGCAGGATGAATTGCCAAATCTTGACGTGGCGCTGTTACGCGTCAACGTCATCGTCACGGTTGGTTGGAAACCTTTCTACGCCCTCTCTGAGGACGGGTAAGTCGTTCTATTGTGGAAAAATTCACAACAAACTGCACAGAAACCTGTCGTTGCCTTTATCTTTACTTACGCAATGCAATAGCCAGACCCCATGGTACTTCCGTCAACCGTACCTTGATTTCAAGAGATGCAAATCGACTGTAGATATCGAAAAACAATGTGTATAACATAAGTGCAGCAAATGGTACTAAGAGATGTGTTGAAAAACATGTCATCGATATGCACGTGTTTTCGACTTTTTACCACTTTCCTTACGTGACGTCATACATTTCACGGTTGACTAGTTCTGAACACTGATTTTAATGCACAGTAACCAAGATATCCCTCTGACCAATTTTCATAATTTTCGGTTATACAGTCAAAAAAAATTCGTATATTATGTTACCCTGCGTTTCTTTTTCCTTTCAGTATATTAAAATAAAAGACAAGGTATGGTATCGGCCGAATCTGGCTCCTTTTTTTGATGTAAAAATCAGAACACAGTTAAAATTGTGATAGTTTGTAGTTAAGAATTTAAAATGATGCTTGTTTTAAGACCAGCACAAATTTTGATTCAAAGCTTACACGAAGGCCACAAGAAGGTGCATTTCCCCAAATTTCCTCAATTCTGGTGGAATTTCGTCAAATTTGAGATACTTTTCACTTCGGGAAACATAGAGCACAAGCTTGCCTATCTGAGATTTTTAATACACAAGATGCATCTGATGCTAGAGTATGAAATATATAAATTTGGTAGATAGGCAAGCTTGTGCTCTATGTTTTCTGAAACAAAATGTGCTGTAAAATTGATGAAAATTTGCATAAAAATGAGAAAATTCGGAAATCAACATATTTTCCGACCTTCCTCTAACCTCTGTGTATCCCATAACTTAGAACCAATACTCATTTTGTAGCAGGGGTGACAACAGTTTTTATTGATGAACTGTTGCATCATTCTAAAAGACACCCCAAACCAGGGGCCAAAAAGGGGTCTTAGCCTATCTTGTCCTTTTCAACTTTTGCAATTGACCATCACGTTACAATAAAAAAAAGTTGCAATAATTTATACACTATGTATTTCATTTGTAAATGTCGGGTAAGACGTTTCGCATTGTCAACATTTCGATAAGAGAAAAGGGGAAGATAACGAACTCTGAATAATCTCATGAATTCATTAAACAATACTTAAAGTGAACATGGTAAAACACGGACCTCTGGGATCAACAGAGGTCGGATCAGGAGCTTAGGAGGGATAAGCTTCCCCACCCGCAGTGAGCCCTCTGTATTGATTAGGTAAACAGAATAATTCATTATCAAAATAAGTATTAAAACGATGGCCTTACAATTGTTTGTGAAATAGTCAGCCAATATACGACCAAAGAATAGGTTGTATTTGCAAATAAGGTCATGATAACGACCATAAAATTTGCAAAATGCGGATTTAAAATGAAATTGAAGTAAGCTCTGCAACATTAACTTATTTGTCAGTAGCCTGACTCAGTTTTTAAATTGATCGGACTTCAGAACATGCTCTCCCGTACCAAATCAGTTGGGAAATGAACACCATGTGCTGTGTGTTTTATGTCAAGGCACTCTGATCTTCTTTTTGCTTTTTGTCTGTGAAAAAAGTGATACTTAATGTAATTCTTAATAAATAAATAATTGAATTCTGGTTTTACAACCATCTGATTGGATAAAAATTTACCTTTATATCGTATAAATTGTGTTGCCTAAGTCACAATGACTTGCGTCAAAAACGTATCGATCCGCCTGAGGTTACATTAAAATTTTGTATAATTTGAAGTCATTTTTCAAGGGCAATCGTCTTCTTTTCTTACACTTAAATGAATGGAAATTAAAATTGAGATAGTTTACACTTTTTATAAACCACTATGGACCACTATGGACATCTTAAAATAAATAACTTGCCTTTAAAACTGAAAATTAGTCTTGATATAATTTATTTTCTACCTCCTATTTATTTGAAATGCAATAAAATAAGGAAGCAAAGGCAATCATTAAGTAAAAGTTTGTTCGTTTCTATGTTCTTTAACGTCCCTCTCGAGAATTTTTCACTTATATGGAGACACCACTACTTGCCGGTGAAAGGCTGCAAATTTTAACCTATGCTCGGTACTCAGGACCATTGAGCAGTGAGGGGTCTTTTTCGTGCCAACACCTACTGCGACACGGGACCTCGGTTTATACAGTCTCATCCGAAGGACGGGTCTCCACGTCCCGCAGTGAATTCGAACCCGCGATGTAATGATCAACTCCTTACTCCGCGACTCTAGAGCAGACGCTCTAACCACTGCGCCACGCAGGCGACTAAATAAAAGTTAATAGATTATTTGAAGTTATGTAAATTAAATTTACATAAATTTACTAAATTTCGTAATAAAAGTTTGAAATATGTACTCTTTTATTGCTTTTATTTTTCAAGTTACAAAACAAAAGAAAAATGGAGTTAAAAAAGAAAAAAATAAACATTAAAAGTTTATTATAGCGAGGTTAAAATCATTGATCACTTAAGATACAGGGCAATATGTTAAAAAATTCTTGAGTGAAAAACTACAACAAAAGCGCAAGTCTGAGGCACTTAGAAAATAATGGGTGTTTTGAACCAATTAGAGGAAAACATATACAATGTAGGTTTGATGTTATATTAATAAGGCTTTGACTTTAAAGCAAATCTAGAAACTGCGACCAGGCATATATCAAATGCAAAATGAATAGGAGAAGATAAAACTTAGAATACAGATATTCATGCATGGTCTACAGTTTACATTATTTACATGTCGATAAATATGAAATAATACATAAATTATATATAAATATTAACTATGTACATTAGGTTAAACATCAATAAGCAAAATAGATATGTACTCTGTTACCTATTGGAGTGATTGATTCCGAGTTGTAATTGACGTATTAATTGACAGTTGATCAAACATCTTAATGGCATGCCATACATTAGGATCATTATCTATATTGC